TGGGTATTGACTGAGATATTTTCATTATCAGTAGGGACTCAGTGAGACCCTACATTTCCCTCCACCACCCATGCACTGTCGGCATCTGCCAAGCAAGCATCTCTGCCGACTGTCGATAACTGCGCGGGTCGCACCTCTTCACACCTCGCGCTTCATTCACCTCACACCTCAGGCCTTTCGCCATTATATAAACAGAACCCCGTCGCTCCTTTTGACTTCTTCTTCTTCTCTCATCTACTTCCTCTCTTTCCCCCTTTCCCTCAAACTTTAATCCCCCTCGCCCCGACTTCGCACGTCTTAGTCCGAAGTCACTCATCATGTCTTTCTTCAAGAAGATTGCCAAGGAGTTCGAGAACCTTGGTATTGGCGACAAGGACGAAAAGAAGCAAGATTCTCAGCAAGGCTATCCCCAGGGTCAGGATAGTAAGTTTCTTCCGTTTAGCCATTCCTACAACTTCGTCAGCTAACTCTCAAACCCAGACAACCGGGCCTACGGTGACGGCGGCCAACAGTACGGCGCCCCTCCTCCTCAGCAATACAGCTCTCCTCCTCCTCAACAATACGGCGCTCCTCCTCCTCAGCAGTACGGCGCTCCTCCCCAGCCTTACGGTTCACCTGCTCCTCAGCAGTACGGTGCTCCTCCTCCTCAACCCGCCTATCAGCCTCCATCCGACCGCCCTCCTCTGCCCCAAGGTTGGACTCCTCAGTTCGATCAGAACTCGCAGCGATGGTACTATGTTGAGACAGCCACTGGTCGCACTCAATGGGAGGCTCCTGGTCAGGCTCCCCCCCCTCCTCCCCCGGATTCTCGTCCTCCCTACGAGTCTCAACCTTCTGACGGATCTCGCGGTTACCCCGGTGCTCCTGGTGGATACGGTTCTCCAGCTCCTGGCGGCTACGGTTCACCGGCTCCTGGTGGCTACGGTGGTGCTCCTGGCTATGGTGGTTACGCTTCTCCTCCCCCTGGTCAAGGTGGTTACGGATCTCCTGCTCCAGGCGGTTATGGATCGCCTGCTCCCGGCTATGGTGCCCCCTCTCCTTACGGTGCTCCCTCTCCCTACGGAGCTCCCGGTCAATATGGTGCTCCACCCGGTGACGGTGATCGTGGCACCAACCCCTATGGTCAGGGCGAGAAGAAGAAGAGCGGCAGCTCTGGAATGCTTCTTGGTGCCGCGGGTGGTCTTGCCATCGGTGCCGTTGGTGGTGCCTTGATCGCCCACGAGCTTAATGATGACGACAGTGATAAAGAGCACGCCGCCGCCGCTCCCGCTGCTGCTCCCGCCCCTCAGGTTGTCAACAACTACTACGGAGCCCCCCCTCCCGAGGACCCCTATGCCGCCGATCCTTACGCGCAAGATGGACCTCCAGGTGTTCTTCCTCCTACCGATGCTGACGGTAACTACGTCTCGTCCAGCGACCGGGAGGACGTTCAGGAGGCTCGTGAAGAGTATGAGGAGGCTCTGGCTGCTGCTCACGACTCGGATGCCAGCAGTAGTGATGAAGAGCGGCTCAGGGAAGCTCGTGAGGAGTATGAGGAAACCTATGAGGAGGTGTATGAGGACGACTGAATGGTGAAAAACGAGCTATGAATAACGACATGTTTACCTCTATCTGTAACTAGATTGCGTGGGAGCCATAAAGGCAAGGAAGAAGGTTAAAGACTTTGTCTTACTTGTTGATAACTTAGTGCACAGTACAAACCAGAGCACATTTCAAACTACCTGACATATTGATTGCAAATATCCAACTCTTTTTGGTGAAGGTTTGGCGATATCACTCACGCGCATGTGTTAGATACTAATGTCTCGCATGACTAGGCATATATGCATGAGCAATTGTTGGACCATGTTAAGATGCAGAAATCACAGGCCACTACTGCAGGTTGAAGGCGCATTCGCTTATCGGCATTCGGCCAAGAACTACAGAGTCTCTAGCGCAGGACCTTTTTGCTGTGCAACGGTAACCCATAGTCGCATACACAACCTATGATCAATTTCGAAATTTTAACATCAGGTCAGGTATCCAATTGTTTTACAGCATTTTTTTTCTTATCTTGGACAAGGAGGGAGCCCAGGCCTAAGATGATATGGTATGTACATATCACAATCTAAACTGCAGCTATTTCAATGCCGCATATAATGCAGAACAACAGTTGAAGCAAAGACAAAGAGCGAATTTCCGAGGTCAAAGCATCCATGAGTTGTCCGTCTCCACGCTTGGCATTACACGACAATGGCGGAGCGTACATTGCACAGCCCCCTCAATAACTTGGCAAAGCAAAGAGTAGTATATGATTTTGAGTTGTTTTTTTTTTTTTTTTTTCCAGCGGGCGCCCGCTGAAAAGTTGTTCAAATTCTCACCCTGTTGTAATGCAACGGTGAGAAGATCACTCGGCACAGATATTGCCGGGTTGGCGAGCTTGTCACGGTCAAGCTTTTGTTACCTTAGAATCAAGCGTTTATTGGAAAGCTTGTGTCGTTTTTGCTTATTTTCTGGACTGGATATTAACAAAGGCCAGTAAGTAGTGAGCTTAGCATTGCAATGATGTGTTGTAAGATGATGGTCTACAGAACAGGGGTTCTCATACGGATCATGGCCAAGACGACCTAAATAATTGAATTGAGTTAAACTCGATTTATTCAAGGAATAATGTAATCCTTTGCTGACTCAATATTCGAAGTCCTCTTGTGGATCATGCGAACGTTGACCTAGGCTGTATCTTTACCTACCTTGATCAGTGAGTGAGAGCATTTGAGTTTGACCATCAAAAACAATCATTCATTCTCATTTCTCAAGCTAAGATATCAAATTCAAGGTTAAGCAATGCTGATTCTTAAAACAGGTCTCGTCCAATCCAAGCATTACTCTTTCGATCCATCGCTCAGTCTCCCGGGTATCACAAATATACTTCGTCGAGTCCTTCAAGAGGCTTACTTGTCGTTGTTCTTCTCATCCATGCAGATACACAACGCGGCCATGAGAGCCATGTCAACACCGGGCGCAACGATGAGAGCATACGTCTGTTGGCCGAATAGCATATCGCGACCGCTGAGGATTTTGCGATCGATACGTGCGACCACGGTGTTTGTGGTCTTGTCAAAGATGTCGGCGGCATAGTCGAACCAACTACCCTTCATCTCGAGGACCTCTGCTGTACCATCGCTGGAATTGAAAGTAGCTGTGGCCTTGGAACCGATGACTAAAATACATGTCAGACAGAGGACAGGACTATCATGGAGGAAAACTTGCGCTTGAAACTGCTTTTTACTTCCATGAGCTTGACGCCTTGAGGATCTTCCACTGCAAAGGTGGTGTGGATATGCAAGTGCTCCTTGACGATGGAAAAGAGATGGTTGCCATTCATGTCAAAGACCTTCTTGCGCCCAGAGATGCTCATCACCTTACCCTCCACCTTAAAGATAGGCTGGCCATTGGCAAGCTTAATGTCAAAACTATCGCCAGTGAGAGACATGACCTTTTCTCTGAGGACAAGCGTCTCTGTCTGGTTGGCGATGAAGTTCTTGAAGATGCCGACCTGATGCGGCGCGGTTTGAAGTTGAGGGGCTGCCATTGTTGCTGTAGATGTTGATGCTAGGTTGAGATAAGGATGATGGATCGAGGTTGTGGTGTTGAGTTATAGTCAAGAGGAGGAGAATAGAAAGAGTGGTATGACGCAGAGGTGAAGTTTGATGTTCCATTGAAGGATCGCCAAGGGTATTTATACAGGTTATACCAGCGATAAACATCACATGGAAGTGCCTTGAGCTGAGAGGCGCCACCTTACATGGCAGTAGCACTTTGCCTTAGGTACCCCTAGAACTGATCACCGCTAAAGCAACCGGTCGGGAGCAAGGCATAATCTGGCGAATAGCGAGTCGGGTGAATGAATGTGGCAGTGAAGGGTGCCCGCTCATAAGGCTGATTATGATTATGATTAGACCTTGCTCGCTTCTTGAAGCTACATGTTTTTTTTTTTTTTGAGAATTGACATTTACGAAAAGTCTCTTTTTTAACATGGGTGATCATAAGTAACGCTGTTATTCAAGGAAAAGCATTCACTCTCTGTTCTTAAATCACGGCCCCCAAAGGTATTTACGTCATGAGATTGACAATTCGCTGAAGCGTATGTATTCCGTGGATAAACGGAAGAGGAACCGATCGCACGAGGAACTCGCGAGGCCAGTTATACTATTCGTCGATCCGCCCCTATAGAACCATTTGTTATCGACTTGTCAGTGTCACAGCGCTTGGCTAAAAATACTCCGGCTGGTATGAAGATCGGTGGGTTTTGCGGCTGTGCTTCGATCGGTAGGATATTGTTGATCATGAATTCTTCTCAATGGTAGCGACGTTTATAAGGTGCCACTAATTCATGTCACAGGAGGCAGCCAGATGGAAAAGCATCTTGCGTAAAGACATTAAACTTAGTTGAGAATAATTTTACATCGGATTTTCATGAATCTTTACTGATAACACCAACCATAACTGACCTAACCACCCTAGAGGCCGCCAATCTCTCAAGCTAACAAATGTTGCAAACACATCTCATCAAACAATCACGTGATTGATTCAGCTGTCATTGAAGACAAATCCGTTCTGGTGTGTCTAGTGGTATGATTCTTGCTTAGGGAAACCCGATAGCATAGCTTGCGAGAGGCCCCGGGTTCAATCACCGGCTAGACCCTTATCTTTTGTTGTTTTGAATGCCTTTATGTTGACTTTGTTCCTTTTTGCTCTGGTGCTGCTGATGCGTTATCATAGATGAAAAGCTCGGCCCCACTTGTAATACTCAACCGGTCAATTGGAATTGTGGAGATGAAGCCTCAACGAGAAAGCCGTTGTAAGCCGTTATCAATTAACTCATCAGTATGGTACAAAGGGGTCAACAACAGTCACACTTGCTGCTGATTCTTGGAAGAAAATATTGGCATCCATTGTCTATCCTAGTCTATCCATAACTAATACAAGAAACAGATCTCGGGTGCGAGAAAAAAGTCAAGACACGCAGTGGGCGTCATTCAACCCACGATCCATTTAGGATATTTACAGGACAAACAGGGCAAGGAAGGCAAGGGCGGCAGTGGAGACGCCGAGAGAAGCAGCACCGCTGGTGATGGTGCTGGGAGTCTCAGCAGGGGCGGAACCAGACTCGGAGCCGGAGCCGGAGCCGGAGCCAGAGCTGGAACCAGAACCCTCGGAACCAGAGCCAGATCCAGAGCCAGATCCAGAAGAGCCGGACTCGGAGTTACCACCGGAGCTGGAACCAGATCCAGATCCAGAGGTAGGCTTGGAACCAGAGCCAGAGCCAGTAGCGGTGGCAGAAGCAGTGGCATCCTCATCATCGTCAGAACCGCTAGTAGCGGAGGCAGTAGAGGTGCTGAAAGTAGCGGTAGAGTTAGAACCGTGAGTAGGCTTGGAAGCACCGGACTCGGTCTTGGTCTTGGAGTGGACGGCAGAGCTGGTGGTTTCCTCATCGTCAACCTTGTCGCAAGAGAGATCGAAGCGAGGAGTGGTGGAGAGGTTGTCAGTGATGGCGAACTTCATCTTGTTGTCGGGGTTGGAGTCGCGGAGAGTGTACCAGAAAGTGGGGGTCTTGTTGAAGAGGTACTTGCAGCCAACGTCGCGCCAGTACTTCTGAGCGTTCTTCACACTAGGAACAGCCTCATCCCAATCGGGACCCTTGTAGGGCCAGCCGGTCTCAGTGACCCAGACGGGCTTGCCACCGGAGGCGGCGATAGTGGCCTCGTACGCCTTGTTGAAGAGCTTGGCAGCGTTGTCGATGCTGTTGCCCTTGTCGTTCTCATAGTAGGGGTACTCATCTACACCGATGAAATCGATGGCGTCGAGGACGGCCTTGTTGGTGGCATTGCCCCAAACATCCCAGGTGTCGACGTGACCGACAGGGATCTTGCCAATGGGGGTACCCTTGAAAGCCTTCTTGAAGTCGTTGATGAAGTCAACGAGGGCATCGGGCTGAACACCAACACCACCCTTGTTCTTAACACCAGTAACAGAGTTACGGTAGAGATCCTCGCTTCCAACGGAGACACCAATCACGAGGTCGGTGAATTTAGAGCCGTACTTGTCGACGGCCTTCTTGAGGGCGCTGATCTCCTTGTCGATGTTGTCAGTGCCAGAGGTCCAGACACCGAGGAGGATCTCGGTCTTGGTGTCGATAGCAGCCTCGAAAGCCTCAATGGGGTCATCCTCGGAGTAGGCCTGAATGTTGGTGTAGAGTCGGACAGCGTTGAAGTCACCGGGGGCGGTCTTGAGGTTCTGAGCAGTCTCGAACTCAGCCTGGAAGTCGGCCTTGAACTTGGCGGCTCGGTTGGCGAGGGTGGCACCAGAGTTGAAACCGAGGTAGTTCTTGGCCTCAACGCCGAGGGCGAGGGCACCAGCAGCGAGGGTAGTGGAAACCTTCATGTTGGCGAATATAGATTATCGATTCTCGGGTAAGTGATCGATATGTGGTATAAGCGGGTTGGTACAACGTCGAGCAAAGTCACACCAGCCGGATGCTAAGTCTATTAAAAGAGCGTGAGTGTGATTATTCAAGAAAGAAGCCGTTCTGGCAGTTAAAAGAGAGTGACGAGGAAGTAAGAATGTCGAATCCAAAAAGAGAATTCAGACGACAAAAAGGAAATGATGAATGGATGAAAAAAGATGAAAGATGATCAAAGATCAAGAATGAGGAAAGGCGCTTTGTTTTGCTTTCGGAACGCGGTGAGATTAGGTAGGGGCGGTTGCAGCGGACGTGGAGCCGTCACGTGCGGGACAGGCACTAAGTTCCCGGTTTTTTCAGGGGAAATGCTTACGACGCTGGTCCACTAGGTTATGGTTAACGTGCCGTGGACCGCTAAGAATAGACGGCATTTCTTGGAGACATGTGCTCATTGGACGTCAACCCCAGTTTCCCCTGTTTCGCACCCAAGAAGCAATTTTGCAACATGCGTGATCGTCGATAAACAATCGAGATGAATGTTGCTATTCTTACGAGATGAGCATTTCTTTCTATCATATCCATTATTTTTCGTATTGAGAAATTTGATGATACTGTAGTGTTTACCTGTCAAGCCTCTTGTGCAACGCTCGAGACAGAGTTCCAACGGTGCCCTTTTCTCACGAATCTGATTCGCAGTGGCGTGACTTATGCAAGGAACAATGCAACCAATTCTTGAGAACGGATGGAAGCTAAAACAAATGCAGTGCCTCAAAAGTTTATCCTTGAGCCAATCTCCAGTCCATTCAATTCGATTCAATTCAATGCACTGGGATCTGATACTGGGATTTATTCCTTGGTAGCCAATCTCTCTATACGATGCCAAGCATGGGATTTAATTTCATGTCTGAAGTATATAGATAATGACTAGCAGTATTCTCCGCATTAGTCCCTAATTTTCTTTGTTTCGATGCTTTTGAACTTCAACATCTGGCACCCTCTATTGATGCAAGAAGCAATTCTTTGTCGTGGCGAGCGAATTCCTTGGCACTTCAAGCGCTAAATTAGCTGAGGCTGCGGGTGACGCTGGTGGGCTAAAATTCCCCCTTGAAGTGGAGAGACAATACAATGCTTGGGCTTGGCTGGCATGGCTTCGAAGCCGATCGACCCGTTCCTGAATTGGGATGGTTACAGGCAATGAATTGATACGAAATCAACGGCGAAAAAAGAGGCTCAATTGGGTTGGCCCTTTGATGCGACAAGTACTTAGATACTTTCTGCTGCACACTTTAACAATATTCTGCCCAAACATTTATTCACCATGTTTTCACGTTCTGACTACTTTGAGATTAGGCGCTGATCCAGGATCTAATGTCTCACCAAGACATTCCGCCATGACTTCTGTTGGGCCTTAGTTCAGCATAGTTTCAGCCACGACTATCCAATGGTTATCGTCGTCAAGAACAATAATATTGTTGATCAAACAAAAGGTATCAATAATAAGTCATGACTTGGCTCCATTCACAGATCATCACGCTGCATGAGGCCTCCGACTGCAAACTCAGCACTCAATCTAGTGCTTCTCAGCTTCAGACTTCTCATGAGCCATAAAGACCTCATCCTCGTTAATCTGGTATTTAGCGGATTTGCGTGCCGGGATACCCTTCTGAAACTGTTCAAATTCGTTAGCTGGGGTCTCGATTCTCGTATTCAGTTGCTTACCATGTAGTCCATTTCACCAAAGGTGCGGTCCTTGGTCTCAAACATACGGAAATAACCCCAAGTAAGGGTAAGAGTTGCGAGACCTGCCCAAAAGAAAGCCTGTAGCTTGTTAGCATGCCATTGACACTCGTATGAATTGGCGTTGACTAACAGTCTTGCCCTTGAGGTTCCATGATCCTGGAGACAACATCTCTGGCTGGAGCAGGCCTCCGCAAATAATGTTACCAACGTAATATGTCGAACGAGCCAGCACAACAGTCTGTGTACGTAGTCGAGTCGAACCAATCTCAGCAACGACGGTATAGATGATGGGACCGACAGACATAGAGTATGCTCCCAACCACACCACGCAGAGGATCGACTGTGCCCATGCCAAAGATTTTGTCTGCTTAGGCAGCGCAAGGAAACCGATGATCCAGAGAATCACAACAAGAAATGAGAAGCCAGAGAGCCAGATGGTTCTTCGACCGAACTTGTAGATGTAGAACCATGAGATGATGGTACCCACGAAGGCGATACCAGTTCCGCCGAGGGCAATGCCGTAAGAGGCAGAGGCACCAATACCAGTCTGTTGGAAGAAGAAAGATCCGCTGTAGCATAGAGCACCACCATTGGTGATCTGAGAAAGGAAACCCATACAAGCGATCTCGGTACGTCGAAGGTTACTACCACGGAAACAGTCCCAGTATGAAGTACCAGAACGCTCCTCAATCTCAAGCTTGTTTGTATGCACCATGAGAGCAACGGCATTCTCGTAGTTGATGTTGTGCTCCGGTTGGGATAATCGCTCGAGGGATACCTTTGCCTTCTCGAGCTGATTCGTTCGGACAAGATGCCAGGGCGACTCGGGAGCAAGATACGCCGCGATGGCGAGAGGAATAGGCCATACCCATTGGACCGCAAAGGGGATTCGGTAGCTCCACGGAGTAGGGTTGTCGACAAGACCTTTCAGCACGCCAGCTGAGATGAACTGTCCAATGCACCAGCACAGGTTAACATAGGCAGTGAGATATCCTCGGATAGCAAGAGGAGTGACCTCAGCTGCGTAGGCGGGACCAGTGGTAGCGAAGATTCCCCAGGGGATGTTGCAGAGGAATTGGCCGACGAGAAGGACCTCGATGTTAGGAGCGAAGAAGACAACAAAGATGAAAGAAGACAGCCAGAAGAGACCGCTGATGAGAACCTTGCGGTGTCCCCATCGTGAAGTAGCCCAGCCATTTAGAAGAGCACCGATGATGTTGGCGAGAGCACCGAGACAGTTGAAGCGTTGCTGCCAATTGGCTGAGATTTGATGTCCATTCTCCGCGTCGAGATACTCGCCGTACTTCTCTCGGAATCGTGGGTAGCCGTAGAAGGATGACAGGAGGGTAACGTCGTATCCTTCCATGATGACGGTTGTCGAGATGACTTATTCTGTCAGTTGCCTTGCTCGGCGTAAGTTGAGACTGAGAGCTTACCGATGGACCAAAAGGCAGCCCGCTTGTAAGTCTTGAAACCTTCCCAAACGCCATAGCTATGCTCAT